TTTGTGGCCCTCCCTCCTTTGAATGCTAGCCTCCAACCACACTGAAGAGGGCACAGCACCAGCTCACAGCACATACTCTTTACTCAATCACTGGCTAACAGCTACTCATCCTTCCAATTGTGGCTTAAATAGATATCCACCTTCCTTAACACACCACTACCACAAATTTAAGTTAAATTTCTCAACAACATACTACCTGAGCATACTATTAATTACTTTAGGAAAGTACTTATCATTCTTTATCTTAACTGGCCATTTACTTTTCCTGGTCCCCCAAATTCTGGCCATTAACCATTATAACTGGCATTCAGAATTATGTTTATCTTTTTCAGTATTTTATTTCCAGCACTCAAAACAATGCCTGGTACATAGAAGGCACTCAAATATTTATGAGTGACAAGAAATTTTAGAAGTACTACAAACTTAAAAAGAGCCTATACCCCTACAGGTTGTTGATCGCACAATGTTTCAAATGCATAATAAACAATATTTCTATAAATTGCATTAGTAAGTTATAGAAATAAAAAAAATTAAGAACAGTATCTGTAGATTTTACACTAGGAACTACATATATGAAACATGTATTTTATTTTATTTTATTTTATTTTTTTTAATTTTTTTTAAAGATTTTATTTATCTGACAGACAGAGATCACAAGTAGGCAGAGAGGCAGGCAGAGAGAGAGGAAAGGAAGCAGGCTCCCTGCTGGGCAGAGAGCCCGATGTGGGGCTCGATCCCAGGACCCTGAGATCATGACCTGAGCCGAAGGCAGAGGATTTAACCACTGTGCCACCCAGGTGCCCCTGAAACATGTATTTTAAATGTAGCCATTCTTAACCTATTCTCCCATATTATGGCCACGAATATCTTATATAAGTAATCATTTATTTCCTTAGCTTTCCCTTGCTAAGTAATTTTTGCTATGGGTTAGTAAGGATATCATAGCTTGACCTTTATTTGCCAGAAAATGCTCTCCTGTTGGTTCTTATGGAAATTTTGATTTGGGTCATAATGAAAGAAAACATGGAAAAAGTGAATTTTAAGAGGGATTTCAAAGAAGGGACAGGTCACTGAGACCAAAAGAGGAGAGGAGACTGTATTAACTTTTGAAGCCCTGAAAGAATAAAAATTAAAGTACTAAAATAATCGGAGACTAAAACAGACTTCATACATTACAACTTAGGACAGGAAGGAAAAAGGTAGATGGAAAAAAGATACATGAAGGAATTACTCATTAATGTAAGTGAAGGAATTCAGACTGGTAAAACACAATTCAATCATCTGTTAGTTATTAATTCAGTGGTGTCCATGGGTGAACAGACACACAAATAGACGCATACATAATACTTATACCTTAGACAAAGAGACAAACAAACAATGAAACAAATTAAATGCAGAATTACACTTAAGGATGACTACTGTGAAGTAATCAAGAATAATGTCAGAGAACAATGGCATGTGGAAGGTCCACAGTTTAGAACTGGCTTATTAGCACATCTGACCATGGCCAGTCAGGCAAGATAGTGGTGAACATCATGGTCAAGAGTCTGGATTTTATTATTAGTGCAATGGAAAACCACTGAAAAGTTTTAAGCCAGGAAAGAAAGATTTTCTTTTTCCTTCCTTAAAAGTAAGATGACTTAGCATCCTATACTTTTGTCAGGTATCTTTCCAAAACAAATTCGCCTTTTACTCAAATCTAAACCCAATTCTGCTATATGGAAAACAATATCAAAGATCATAATAGGACAGCATCAGTTTATTACATCAACTTCGGTGAACTATTTTAATTAATACCAATTTATTCACCAATAAAGCCAGGTACTCCCTTCTAGTTCTAAAACTCTATGATATTACAACAGAAAGAAAGGAAGATTAGGGACAAAAACAAAATTACAAGAGTCAAAAATGGAGTAGGCAGGATATTCTGAATGTCTTGGATTTTAAGTAGGTTACTAAATATTTTATCCCTGAAGATAGAAAGAAAGCTTTGAAACAGATATTATATAAAAAGCATTACATTAAGTAATTATCTGAATACTAAAAAAGCTGTAAGTAAGAAGGCATATAAAATTGAAGCTAAAAAACTCTGGCAATATGTAACAAAGTGCTATTCTCAAAAAAGACTTAATAGAGGAAAATGTTCTTTTCCTACAAATGAATAATCATAAATAGTTGAACAAACATTTTGGGTTTTTTATGGTTTCGACTGAATCACAGGTAACCTACCAATTTCTAATTAATACCCTTTGATCAAAAACCTTGGAATTTAAAGTAGTAAACTATGTATATGACCAAATAGGGCACAGAGAAATATGTCATGATTTCTATGCTATTCTCCATTTAAAAAAGGAATTCAAGCAGTTAAAAGTTAGATTCACATGGAAAATTCTGCACATATATATTCAGTTTCTTTTCTCTGTTCTCACCGACCTTCCAACACCATTCGTGCAAATAAACCAGTAAGAAGCAGTTTTCCTTTATTATTCCTGTGATGTGGCTATTTTTGCTAATGCTTTCCAGAATACTCAGAATCATTTGACTCAATAACGTACTGTTTGTTTATAAATGTTAAAATTCAGTTTTGAGAAATTGAAGACTTATTTATTAATGGAATCTATAACACGAATAACAAAACTAAAAAACTTAACTTCTACAAAGGGAAACCACTGATTAAGTCCAGTGTTGGACTACTTACAAAATGAATCATCTATTTGCCATAAATTCCCTTGTGGGAAAAAATGTATAAAAGGCTTCCAATATGTGGAGAACCCCATGAAATGCATAGATTAAAATAAACAAACACTAGAAAGGTGATGATTCTTCAAATAAATATGACAACCCTTTTAAAATGCAACACATGTTTTTCTGCTAAAAGGAAATCTAGGAAGATGAAATAGAGGCTTCATATAAAATATTTACATATACAATGCACAAAACCCACTATGGTTAGTAACCTTCATGGCTTTCAAGAACTAGATATTTACATATCATTCTTTCTGCATGTGCGTGTGCGAATGTGTGTTTTGTATATATTTTTAACAGTTGACAGCTGTTTTAGAGCATACAGAGATGCCAAGCTGAATGAGGGTCTTGATTACTTCAAGATTAGCTATCTAAAGTTTCTATTCATTTTAAGTGTTGTTAGTTGGAAGAGTCATTAGTCACTTCCTTGTCTCATAGAACATCAGCATACATTTACATTGTTAATGAACATTTGGGGTAAATGAATTAATGGCACTTTTAAACATCAATTCAGTCCTAATAACTTTGTATGTCATAGAAATGTTAGGCTAGGATATAAACGAAAAGCCTTTTCAGTAAAGGTAACTACTCATTCCTGCAAACAGTAAAGATAAAATTAATTTAAAATGTTTTTAACCAGTTAAAATAAAAAAATAGAACCTCAGTATTTAATGAACGATACCAGAGAAAAATATGCACTTAAAAACAACAACAAAAACAAAACAAAACAAAACAAACCTGTATTCTAAACTAAGCACATAAATCAGACAATTTTGGTGAAATTATTTTATATACTTCTAACAAAAACGTATTTACTTTTAAAATAGCCACTTACAGAAGAGCTTGTGAAATAATTTGACTTATTAGTGCTTCTTATAGATATTACATTTTTTAAAAATCACCAGGAGATGTAATATTCTTACCGCTGAAATTTTTAAGATGCTGAAGCTAAAATGAGACACATTAACATTTCTTATATTATCAAAACCCTGAACAGTCTTTTTGAGACCTCTTCAATAAACACACAAATAAAAATAAAAAGTAAAATCACAAAAATAAGTTGTAGGGAAAATTATACTATTATAAATTTTTTTATTTATTTGAGAGAGAGCATGCAGGCGTGCATAACCAAGAGAGCACATAAGCAGGGGGAGTGGCCAGCAGAGGGATAAGCAGGCTCCCCACTGAGCAGGGAGCTGGAGACAGGGCTCAACTCTAGGACCCTAAGATCATGACTTATGCCAAAGGCAGACACTTAACTGACTGAGCCGCCCAGGTGCCCCCAAATTATGCTATTTTCATTGAAAACAACAACAGCATTTGTATGACGTAGAAGGCAGTAAAGATGCACAGAAACCATAAACACACTCCATAAAGTCAAGCTTTGAGCACTAAAGAAATAATCAGTTTAACGAATCGATCATTTTTTTAAATTTCCAAAACACAATAGTAGACCTTTATACCAACATAGAAAAAAAATTTGTATCTGAAGTAAACAAAATATATGTGAATCACTAACTGTGATTTTTTAAAACAGACCTCATAATCCTGATGTATATATTTTATGAGAAAAAATTGCAAGTAGCAACCTGAGTCAATGAATCAACTAAAAATAAAGATAAGGCTTTAAGAATTCGCACAAACTGACCGCTTCCTTTTTCAAGATACTCTATTATTACCAATATGGAGAAAACAGAATAGAGTTCTGAAACATACACATTTGATAAATTTTTATAAGGCACGTGCTGAATGCAGTTTACCTCTTAACAGTCTCTTTTACTCTTTCAACAATTTCAGTGAATAGATCTTTAAAAGACACAAATTTCAATTAGTTTAAAAGAGAGAGAGAGAGAAGAGAGAATGAGGCAAGTCTATTATCCCAGAATAACATCAACTTACTTTTAAAGGCAAAAAATCGCTAAAAAATGAACACCAGCTCAGACTTCTTTAAAAGATGCTTGACAAAGGTCATTTGTACTTCAAAATCCCTATGCCGAACTGTTTAAGTTCATAACTTTTTTTTTAAAGAATGACAGTGCATTAAACATTTGGCTAATGCTTCTGTCTATAATTGGAAGTTGATGTTTTGTGGTATTCATTAGTGTCAGAGTGCTCTCTACCTATCCAGGGAAGTGTGCTTCAAGATGCCCTGTTCAGCTTCATGTAAAGAATTACATACATAAGGCAGGCAGAGCTAACTAGAGACTCTGATATGTTTTCCAGTAACCACAGAATGTATCTGATACAAAACTCACCTCCAGTCTTGTTTGAGTAATTCGACAAGGGATCGATGCCCACTTCTTGTTCTTCTGGCTGCAGCGGGTGTCTAGTTTCAGATAAGGAATGATACATGTTGAGAACTGGACAATGTGACCAAAAGTGACTACCTGGGATATTTAAAAAGAGAGAGAGAAGGAGAGAGAGAAATTAAATTTTTTCTTTTTGCTATGACTAGGAATAAGTACAAGATTGAAATGATTAAACGAGCATTACAGACATTAAGTTTTCCACAGGCTTCAGAGACTGTTACAACACATTAGCAGGCATATGCAAAGAAGCAAAAAGTGGCACAAAATTTCCATTTCAGCAAATTCTCCCCGAATTTGAACTTCACTGGTAACCTTCACCTCAATGTTCAATCACATGTATTTTCAATAAACTTCGGCACAAAAAGTTGAATTGTAAGTTAAATTACTGTCCTATATATAACATTGTTTTGTTTCAATGCCCAAACAATACCCATTTACAACAGAAAATTTCAAAATACAGAAAATACAGCAAACTAAAATCATTCATAATTGTGTTAGCTAAAAACAGTAGCCCTGTTAACATTTCATTTTATTACACTATCTTTCCTGTTTTTGTTATGGCATTTAAAATATATATTTTTTAAAGTGATCTAACATACTAAGTATTCTGATTATGTAAGTTATTGTGGGTATCTTCCATCCCATAAAAAAAGAATACCTTATCACTGCAAATGGACCCCTAGTATTCCATTAAATAGCTATAACAATTTATATAATCAATTCCTTACTAGTAAACAGAATGCTTTCAGTATTCAACACCATACACAGTTTCACAATGACTATCTTTCAGTGATATCTCTATGCCAATCTATGATTATTTTTTTAAGATAAATTTTTATGTCACTGCTGGACCAAAAAATATTTAAAAAAGTATTTAAAAAAATAAGACTCTATGATAAGTTTGGCAAATTATGCTCTAGAAAGATCTGTACATAGAACAATTCAGTCCCCTGGACTCTCATTCATTAACAATCGGAATGGGTAATTCATTTTATCGACCAGTGTGATAGTCAAATTTTATATTGCATTTGCTTGATAACTAGTGAGATTCTGAAGATGCATATATTTTCTCTGAGATTATCTTTTGTGGATGGAGTTTATTATTATGATTGTCTTCATAATTTGTAAGCATGCTTTAAATACTAAGAATATTAAACCTTTGTCATGTGATACAAATATTTTTCCCAGAGTGTGTCTGTCTTCAAATAACATGGTATTTTTGTGACATAAGTAACTTTTTCATTTCTGTGCACCCAAATATATCTATATCTCCTTTATGGCTTCTACTTCTAGTATTATTAATGCTTACAAAGGCAAGATTATATGAATAACCACATACTTTTTTACGCATTTTGAAAGCTTTCCTCCTAGGTTCTGATTTCTATAAATGATTCCATTTAAACAAAGATGTTTTTAATTAATTACTATTGAACTTTCAAGCTACACTACTCATAAATTTTCTGTCTATAAGGTACCTATAATCTTCCCAAATCAGAATCTTAAAAAAAACAAAAACAAAAAACTGGTCTCACTAATTTTCATCCAAAATAATGTAACACATGAAATTTCAAGTTTCAAGAGAAGGGAGAGACATGATATAGAAAGAGTAAATGAGGAATAATAAGGTGGAAAAGCAAGCCCAACCAAAGTAAGTATATAATTTTATAAGACACAGGATATTTACAGAGAAAAGATTCCAGAGAAGCCCATGAACATACAAATCCTTGACCAGCCTCTTCCCAACACAACATGCTCCTCTATCCTGCTTAGTTTCTCCCTAAAACTCTCACTTCATAAAATACTCCTGTACATTTTCTGAGTTTTACCAGAACTCTGCAACTCACAGTCAGATGGTAAAAAATCCTTTCCACCTCAGGCTGTGGCTAAAACAAAAGCAAAAGGGTAGGTAAAACTAATATTACAGAAAGCGGAAAACTCTCATTGCCAACATACAGGGAGAATTTCTAAAGTCATAAATCAAGTCCTAAAGCCATAAATCTAGACAGCCATCCTTTATGTGCTTCTTATGTGTGCGAATATTTAGCACTTAAAATACTGAAGGAATTCTAGGGAATATAATCTAGTAGAGGGCAGCAAAAAGTAAATGATCAGTTATATATATTATAAAGCAGAATCTGATTAATTATGCTGATTAAGCAAGATTAAAGCAGATTAAGAAATAAAGTCCTCTGCTATGGAGTAGTAAGGACCACCAAACTCAAATTCCTAACAGGGCCAAGCAAAAAGCAGTATTAATCGAAATGCACATCGACTGAGAAATGAATATAAGTCAAAACCACAGTAAATGCTTCATGTGTATTCATCATTTCATCCTCCCAACAGTCCTACTAACATACCTGCCTCATTGTTTTCACTTAACCAAAGAGAAAACTGAGGTACAAAGAGGTTAACTCATTTGTCTATAGTCACATCAGTAGCAAATGTTGAAGTCAGAATTTGAACCTATCTTGTCTAGCTCTAGAGCTTACATTCTTTTTTTTTTAAGATTTTATTTATTTGAGAGAGTGAAAGAGCATGAGAGGGAAGGCCAGAGGGAGAAGCAGACTCCCCATCGAGCTTGGAGCCTGATGTGGGACTCGATCCCAGGACTTCGGGATCGTGACCTGAGCCGAAGGCAGTTGCCTAACCAGCTGAGCCACCCAGGTGCCCCTAGAGCTCACATTCTTTACTCCGGCACTATATTTGGCTCTCAGTAAGTCAATGAGACAAACAGACAAGGTATAAAACAAAGAGGTACAAGAGGTGGGGGTCTGTGAATGACTGAAAACACCCTTTACTGTGCTTCAGCTTACTCAAGACAAGCTAGAAAACCATTATTTTATGTGCAATCTCTTTAAAGTATGGGCAAATAATTGGAATTTAAAAAAAAACTGTGGAATAGATTAAACACATGTTAAAATTGTATTTTGCCTATGGACAACTACTTTAATGTTAAAATTCATATTCTCATACATTTTGTTATACTTTTGAAAATACGAGAGAAAACGTTTGAAAATGCATTCTAAGTTAACTGCCAGATTTCCATAAAATGTCTTTAATATCCTAGACATGTTTTCATATCATTACCTTAATTTTTTAATTTTTTATAGTACAATTCCACTGTTACAGACTTCACGTACCTAAAATACACAAATAAGGGAATTTTATATACTTTGAACTTTATGAGAGATAAACAAGTAATTACCAAACTGATATCAAAGTATATGTTTAAAAAGAACATTAAAAAACAAACACCTTTCTAGCTAAAATAAGAGAGTCTACAACATGATGATGTTCATATATTCATTCAAGATTTTCAAAGATACTTAAGGTCTTTTTGACTCATTAGAGAAAGTTAGGTTCAAGAAAGTCACTCACTATTTTCAGCTCTAATAATAATTCTTTAGAAACCAATGCCTATGGTTATAATCTAAAGCCAACATATAAATATACCAGTCTACAATTATTCTGTACAATTAGGCATCCATGATATTCTGATTTATTATGCCTATAGATTGAAACTGAATCACTAAAATTCTTTTATATTCAAATAAGGCAAACTGAACAGTAATAATGAGTTATTTTCAAGAAACCTGTTGAAGAAAAGGTTTGCGTGATGCTCTTACTTTTAACTATGGATTTAAAAAATAATCTTGTTCAAAAGCAACTTATTAAGCAGGTGCTGCTTTGTTTTTTGTTGTTTGGTTATAAACACCAAGGCTATTTTAGCTTTCTAGGATAAAAAACATTTAAGTGCAGTTTGGCTACTGCTATTGTGATTACCTTATAAAACCACAATATAGTGTTGCGTTTAAATGTGAAGTAATTTTCTTAAAAACTTTCCAATTTGTTTTGTGACTATGCCAACAGTAAAAGTATTTGACTACTACAAAGAAGAATATCAAAGGTTTTTAAACAAATGTGTCTATATTCATTTTAATCACTATTATGAATAATCTTAGGCCATAGGAAAATATTTGATAAAAATTTAAATAAAGAATTAAAGGAATTTTTTTTAACTTGAAAATTTTAAGATAATCAGTATTAAAGGTCAAAATGGCACAAACATTTTGAAAAGCACAACATATCATTACATCTTGTATTTGTATTACAAACCCAGACTTCTATATTTGGTAGGCCTTAATCTTCTCTATACAAAAGGCAGATGGAAAAACATATAATGACCAAAAATATCTAGAGTAAATGACTACTAAAATTCGTAACTGATGGATTTCAGTTTTCTTAAATAATATCAATCTATCTCAAGAATTTCCCTGACAAACCCTGAGAATTTTTAAAACCGAAGGCAATCTTATTTTTTCTAATTTAGAACACACAGCAATATATCTTCCAAGACTTGAAAAAGGAGATATCCCTTCTTTGCTACATTACTATAAATAACAGTTAAATTTCCTGCTTCACATAAACTCAAAATTCACAAAACTCAAAACTGGTTGTGCAATATGGTTTTACTGCTATGCTGGACACAGGAATTGACATTTTAGGCTGAACTTGCCATTTAAAATCCAAGACTAATCTTAAGGACAATTATATTGGCTTTACAAACCTGGTTCTTGCAATATTAAATCTTAGGATAAAAGTGATTTGCCTGAAAGAAGGGAAGTCTTGTGAAAACAGTTAATATTTAATGATAGGGTAATAGTTTAGCACTAAAGCTTAGATGACAGTTTTAAAGTATATTTGATAAAATATCAAAACAATATTATTTTCTTTGTCAAGTGAAGCAATACAAGCAGTCTCAAGTGCAAGATCTCAAATTCTTAGCATCATACAGATAAAAGGACAGGTCAGATCAATACATTTTTTTTTCCTTTTAAAATGGTATCACATCAACAAAGCCTTGGAAAAGTAATTTATTCCCTCTGAATCTGAAGTTCTATGTATTTCAATGTGCATTCATTCTTTCACAGCTTCTAATACATAGGCAGAGAATTAGCATTCTGAATTGTGTCTTCTAAGGACATCCATATTCAGAAAAGCTCATATAAGCATACTTCATTCATTTAAATTCTTGACTGATGGTAAACTTAAAAGTCAAACATTGAAATGACAGAGTA